ATTCAGGTAAACTGTCGACTTAACTAGGTCCTGTTTAACTCCTATCTCCAATCTAGGAGGAGTCAGAAAGGGCAGATTCTTATCGAAGTATTTTAAATGTTGCAAATCTCTAACAATTTTGTCGGTCAGTTCAAGCAGTATTTTTGAAAGGTTTTGTGGCATCCTTTTTAAGCAAAATTCGCTCCCAGACGTTTCAGCCGAGGCCACTCAAAAAGCTGTGCAAAGCTCGTATTGAGCCCTCATCGAAACAACTAATTTATGCTTGTCATTTCGGCTGTTTCTGATAAGGAAGCACCGGTCTACTCTTAGTAGTTGTCGGCTGTTTTTGTAACTTTTTGCATGTTTTTAATAGTAAAAGTTTAGTAATTATGTCACACATTTCCTAATATCCATTTAACTAAGTCACGAGACTTTTAAACTAATCATGCCTCAGCAAGTTACGAGGGTTTCATAAAGACTTACCTGGGTGTATTGTGAAGAAAATTACGCAATAATGACGCATTATTTTGCACCCCAGTAACTTTTAACTTAACAAAATCCACGGTTATCACAAAAATCAGTCCTGTGGGAGTAGTGACCATGTTTTCCTTGATTGTATTTGGACTTTGTTTGAAATCACGGTGTGTGAAAGTCCGCGTTATCCACAAAACGTCACTTTCCTAATTACAAAATAACGAAATTTTGTTTGTATGTTAATCATTCCCATTTGAGTTAACTGAGAACAGCCGAGGGTAAAACTCACTTTATACTCTGTGAAATATGGTTTAAAGCCATTTAGCGTCGAACGAGGATTCGTTAATCATGAGAACTGGAAGCGCACAGTGTCAAAGCGGCACTAAGGAACTGAGGGGGGAAACATGTCTTGCCTAGTGGGGGCGCTGTTAAAAATACCTCTTTTTTACTTTGTGTGGGAAGCTGGAAAATGTCTCAAGTTGCAACGCAGATCGCACACAGTCGGTTTTTGCAGTAAGTTTAGTTATTGTCGCAAATGCTAAATAAAATTACTTGGGACGCAGTAGGCTGACAAGTGACCTCTCTTGCGGCACTCTTGGGCGAGCACTTCTGAAATCATGTTGAAGCACTCATTCCATCGATATTGCGGGAAAATTGGCACATTTGTTTCATCATTATTGCTTGTCAGCCCGAAAACGCAATTAAAAATTGGGATAAGACGTAAAACATGCATAGAGCTAAACCAACACCCGTGTGGGCACGTGGTGATTCACTTGCGATCATAGTTACATTCGAATTATGCGAAGTTAGGGAATGACAGTTCGGAATGTATTGAACAAGGAGTCGGGACATTCCACTACAAATTGTACCGAGCCTTGTTTCAATAATGAAGAAAGAAATCCCTTACTGATTTCGCTTGCCCCTGCTTCAGGTTTTGGAATCGAGCCAATGCACAGATTTGATTTTCGAATGTAAAAAAAGAATGTTTCAACGGTCTTTCCAAAAAGTAAAATCAAACTTCAGGTCGTTCCATGATGAACTTTATTTGCCTCGACGGCAACGCTTGCTGCCACCGTCTAACAGCCTCCTTTTTGATGCACGTTTTGAAGGTGTTGGATCAGTCACATTTGTGTTAACTGGAAAAAGTAAATTGTAGTGTCAGGACAATACGTGGATAACGAGGCAGCACCAAGTCGACCTTCATGTCGCAACAAAAATAATGAATGCTTAGAAACGAGAAAAAACGACGTCTGCTATATTAGTTGGATCATTTTTATTGCTGCCTAAATGTCCTAGAATTGGCAATCCATTCCTTCCTTAAAAGTCCCTGCTGACTTCTGTACTCAGAAAGAGGCTGCATAACAAATACTTAACTGTGTAATCTTGCTTGTGTGCACAAGCTGGAGGGTCAGCCACGAGATGGCAACACGTGTGCACACGCTTGGATGCTTTCTCCCTCCCAGACACCCGTCAACAAGCGTACTTGGTTGGCACCGCGTCTCTGGCGGCAACCAAGCTAACAAGGCGTTCCCGCGGCCTCACTTATGAGCCTGTTGGAGCAGGTCGCGACGGCAAGTGTGTGCAGCTGCAGCTCATAATTAGCTTCGCTAATTGATGTGCTTCCACGACACTAATGTGCTGCTGCATAAGCCAGTTTTCAGCCAGTGACAGGCTTGCCACTGTGTGTGCGTTCTTGTGCTCACTTTCTAAGACTAGCAGCATTTCCTGTCGTCATCACATCACTGATTTTCTTAAGCAATACGCATAAACTTCAAAATATTGCAAGCAAGACGTCTGGCTGTTTGGTTAAGTAATCGTTAATGTTGACGATAATTGCAACAGTCTGGTTGAAGGTATTTCAGAAAAATGCCACTTGTCAACAGAATGTTCAACCGGAAGATTTAAGTGATAACGTCAAAAAATTCACGTTAATAACGAAATAAGACTTGATGTTTTGGAGATTTTTGTTTAGTTTGGTTTCAAAAAGGCGCGATTGTCCGTCTAATACAGTGAGAAATTGAAATACCACGCTCTATGAACGGTATATTTAAACAAACTTAATAACTTAGGGCCATTTTAGGTGGAAGTTTATTAGGCTAAGTTAAATACCATCGTGGAATTCGGGATTACGAGCTATTGAATTTCCTTTTCAGTACATCAAACACAAATTAACACGGTTTTACGACAAGACAGGTGGGTTTACTTAAAAACCACGCTACATGGGGTCGTCTTGATTGAACCGCTTGCAGAATGGGGTTCAGGGCGAGCAGTCAGTCCTTTGATTTGGAGGAATCCCGTTCAACATGTGTCCTCAAACATTTAGTGTAGCAAATTCAAGTGAATTTTAAACTCCTGAATACTACTGGTAATAGACACTCTAGGATCTCGTTTAATAGCAGTCTCATTTAAAACAGGTTCAGACCATCCGTCCACTCATTGTGCCCATTCAGGTCATATCCATTCTCATTTTTATCTGAGCGTATGTGTTTGTGTGTCTTCCTTTTAGCCAGAAGATAAAGACTTGCTGAAACAGACTCAACTAATGGAACTCGCGGTCTTAAACGGTAGCTTTCACTATTTTGTGTGTTTTGTCTGTTTGACGCCTAACCCCTTTGTTGCCGTTGCCGTCCTCTATGCTTTCTGTAGCCAATCTGTTTCTCCTCACCCCACCCTGATTCACACGTTGGGCTAACCTTTACCCTCACCCGTGCTGCTTCAAACACGCACACAGACACGCCCACACCGCCATTGCCCCACAGCAGCGCAGTGCATTTTACCCCCATGGTATGCCGTTTGGTTCCTGCATCAGTCGTGTAAAGGTTAACTCGACATAAATTTGGATTATCATCGACGGTCAGTGTGTGTGTGTGTGTGTCTGTGGTGAGCATCTTAGTGCGAATGCCTGCTCTGCCTGTAGTTTTCCGCCATTGAAGAAGGGCCGAATTTCGTTTAATTAAGGGCACTGTTTAAAACGTAGCGCAATCTCTGTCGAAAACAGTGAATTTGTTACATAACTCGAACCAGACAATATCCCCACGACAGGAGTAATGCGTTACCACGGTACCGCTAATTATGTGCTGAGTACTTTTGTGTGAATAACTGAAAAATATCCCCCAGTCCTGAGATGAAGTGAGTCGTGAGTTGTATTTGCCGGCAGAACGCAGACAACTTCCACTACTGAATTCTTTAAGCTTGTATTAAACATGAACACGTGTGTTCGCGTTTCCATCGACGTTAACACAAGTGGGTGGTGAATTGTTGATGAACTTGTGATTGTTATTCTGACGCCGTTAAATTTTAAATGCTCTTTATTCTTGAGTTAAACTCGTCTTAAGTAGACTACACTTTTCAAAAATAACATTTAAAAAAACTGTTAAGTCACGGCATTTGTATGCTATTCATATGGGAATGTAAGGTCCTTTAATTCAATAGTTAAACTCACCGAATCCTCACACCAAAAGCTCCTGTGGTAAGATTATGCGTTAGTGCACGTATGCTACTACGTTATTTTAAAGCACTATGTCTGAACACAATGCTTAAAATATGGCTGCTTTAGAGTTTTGCCTGAAATCAAAAATTAACCCACCCACTACTGTAAATAGCGCGATCTGGGATCAGGTAGGTTTGCTCAGGACAACGGCGGTTCGGCTAAGCCACATTCATGTAGAGAAAACAGATAGTTCAACTTAGTGGACAAGAAGCAGATGATGTCTGCTGCTACAGATCCACGGATATGTGAATTCTATGTTCCATTGACATTTACTAATTACGCCTGAACAATTCTTATGCCATTCAAAGTGACTGTACTTATCCTGAAAGGATGTTTCACAAGTCTTTCAACGAATTAATTTTGTCGTTGATTCAGGCTGGCGAAATAATGCACTTGTACTGCGTTGACTGCTTTCCCTTCTAACTAACAGTCAACTAACTTACCTCCTGCTTTGTTTCTGTGGTTTGAAAGCACTTGGTATAGGTCGCCTTAACTGTCCATCCGTACTAACACCCATATTACCCAAAGAATCGTCCACATAGAATTTTTTTAAAAATTTGAATAGGCTTTCAAGTGATTTACATGTATTTAGTTTAAAATTCCGTTAAAATAAACCTGATGTTGAAGATTAGTGACTTGATTTGGTCAGATAGTCACTTACTGTTTTTCACAAATGAATTGTAGATCACAGCGTAGTTGACAGGTAAACAACATTTCTACTTGCTGAAAGCGCACGAAACGAAATTGTGTTCTGACAGGTTTTTGCGATACTCCTGTAACGTGCAGCTGCATCCGCTGATCGAAATTTGACAGCTTTGCTGGAATCGAAAGACAGCACGTCATTTCTTGACTCTGAGAATTTCCAGAATTGTTGCGTTTGTGTAAATTTCCTGTAGAAGGCTCTGGCATAAAAAATTGGCGTTTATTTAAATTAAATAGTAAGTTCCTAAAAGAGAAGTGGAGTGGCCGTTCTAGAGATGGTTTTCTGCCTTACTAAGGAGGCTATATTCCGTTTTGTGTTAACTGGCTTGCATCAGACAACGATGAATTCGCTCCCATGTGCGAAGGAAGCCATTATCTCGGTGGCATTTACATACTTCACCGTCTTCCCTGTGTTCAGCCTGAGGGTGCCGACGATGTTAAAAAGCGTCAGCTCATGGAATTGGCCATCATGAATGGCACGTATCGCGAGCCCCAGTCGCGACATCATGTTGCGCTGTCGTCCCAACAGAGCTCACCCTCCCCACTCTCACCTTCGGCTTCTTTCGAAGACCTCGACCGTGAGTTGTGTGCATCGGGGCGTCGATTTCATGTTTCCGCATGTTCCATGTTGTCGACCTCTTGCTGTGCATCCCTGCTTGCTGGAGGCAGCACCGAGAGGGTGTACATCTGTCCCGCGTCTGTGGCATGCGCTACTATTTCTGGCATAAAGGAAATAAGCATTTGAAATGTTGCATGGAAGTCAGCGATCCTGCACTTTGTTTGGTCTCTGAAATGAGTGTTTTTACAACGTGCATGTGTAGCTTTGCGCAATCACCTACTGTGGCAACTTCTAGGCGGGTTCTTTTTTTTACTACGCATGAACTGCTTCAATGTATCTTTTAGTTTGAAGTTGATTTACTGCGGTTAATTTTGCTGACTTAGTGTACATTTGCGCACTTATAACTGGTATCAGAGCATAAACATAACATACGTCAATTAATGGGGAATTTCAGCTTTCACATACCTTTCTGATCGCTTGCATAATCATTGAAAACCTTCGTATAATAGAAGAGTTTGTGCATCATTTATTAGGATTGATTTCGCAAAGTCGACCAAAAATATTACTACCAAATTCGGCAAAGTTCATTTCAGTACTTAGATGAAGATATTGCCGTTTGTGTAATTTCCTATGATTTGGAATTTTCGAGGACACGAATTGTCTTTCCCGTCACTCCTCTCAAGATGTATCAAAAATTCATTCACTCTTTCATTAATTCTTTTCGTAACATGACTCTGTAAACACCAAAGTGAATTCCATTAATTAATTTTCCTTGCTCTAAGCAATTCTAATCCAACCATCTCCTTTGCCTTCCTTAACTGACATCATTTGCACTAAATTCATTTTTGATGTTCCCCGGAACAGTTCGACTTTTGTGTGAATAAAGGCACTATTACATCCGGCACATTTGTTGTGACCACACGAAATGATAAGGAAAATTTGTATACCCTGGTACCGTGCCAAAAATCGGAAGTACCGCCATCTGGACAATTTTCGAACAGCTTGTTGTGGATGAAATTGTAATGTTTTGTGTGTGTGACCATGCATTTAGCAAAGAATCAATTACCTCCCACCTGAATGTTCGATGTAGGAGTGTTAAAAAACGACTCACGATTTAGTCAAATGAATTTCCACAAGGTTCTCACACGCCGCTGAACGGAGACTTGTCATTCATACCACACGTGAGCAACACGGTGGGTTTAACGGTAACCCTCAAGCTGGTTCCATCTTGAAGCATTATTTTAGCGAGTACACTTCACGTGACCTTTCTGCAGAATATTTCCTCACTATTGACATAAAACTAAGTAGGAATAAAAAAACACTACCTAGATTGTTTAATTATCGCTTGTCGCGGACCCCTTAGTCACATTTACTGTTTAACATGTAAACGCACATAAACGCAAAAGTCGAGTGCGGGTGGTGCTTTGATTAAGTGGAAATTTATCAAATCAAACTATCGTCATTGTCGACGGCGAAACGAAGCACCGACAACCCGCGAGCTTCGTCACCATGGTTTGGAATGTAAAGAGCAGTGGTGCGATTTATTTCCACCCCTGATGGCACTGGGCGGCGGTAATATTTCTTCCTGCCGCCGCGCACAGCCCAATTCGTTTTAAGTCAACGGTAACAGGGAAGTCACACTTCTGCAATGTCCGGTTAGATGCGAACTTGATATTTTTCGCCCAGTAGCGTCATTTCTCATCATTATTGGATCATGATGGAAATAAAGACAAGCATGCTAAAGAGGCCTTATGAAGGACTACGAAGCGATTGATAACAATACCAATTTTATCATTTTACATTTAAAGTCAGAAATGCTGCCTGCCTTTGATCAAGTCAATCAGCCTCTTGCAATCACCCAAGACTGAACTCCAAATGCCATTGATTTCTGCCGAGGTTTCAAAAGATTTTTCCACCTCTACTTGGTTCCTTTTTCCAGAGTTTTCTGGGTTCAACAATCACATAATCGGTGTGGCAGCTTTTCAATAAACTCTAAGACAGCTGAGTTTGCGCTAGCTTTTCATGTCACTGACAGAGGCTGCGGTTGTCAAAACAGGAAACTTGGAGAAAAAAGCAAGAAACTGTAACGCAACGTGCAAGATAGATTGCGTTGTTGGTAGCAGTAAGGTAGAGGGTGAATCTGGGCGTGGTTAGAACGCCTCAGTTTACTTCGACCAACTGTCCTCGCCCAACACTGACAAGAGGCTTTCTTCTCGGGCCTCAGTTGAACTTTTTTTGTCTCCACGCACGGAAATGTGAAATTATTTCTAATGTTTTTTTTGCAAGGCTATCTTAATCTTTTCGACCGCTACTCCTTGTCCTTCATGATCTCGCTGATGCACTTTTTCAATGGCATCTTTGACCATGTACTCTTTTCTTTGTACAAAAAGCTACAAAGAGTTATTTTTGTTTGCTGTCAAAAGATGGCTGTAGTAAAATCATCGACGCCACTATAAACTAAGCGATACAACAGGAGAATCGAAAATTTGAAGCTTGAGCTACGGTATTGTCGATAATTGGAAGACTTGTTCTGAATGCGCCCTGCTAGTAAGTTAAGCCTCACAAAGACATAATACACAGGCTCTGACGTAAAGGTGGCCACGCAGACAATCTGAGGCCAGTTCTCTTGTTGCAGGTTTTGAGAGCGAGGTATCTGTGTTGAAGGGACAGCAGAGTGGCTGTCTTTGAGGGCGATGTAAAGAACCACGAAATAACTGCTGAGAGCTTAACAGCCTCTGACTAATAATTATTATTGTCTTGTTAAAATAGACTTACACACGGTATCTGTAAGTCCGGTGGTTCTTATCTTTTCCAATTAGCTAAAAAATCATGCACATTTTATGTGCCTCTACAAGTTACGTGAAGTGATTGCATTCCCTCGGCAACTCAATAGCTAAACCAAGAGCTGAAGGATTTCTTTAACTTGATTGAGGATTCATAAAGAAATGAACCTGTGTTGATGCCTTCGATCACCTCCGCCTCATGCGCTCAGCTTTGGTTTTGCACTTTACAAGCAAAGGCAAATCACAATTAATGCCAGAACAAATTGAAACCATTTAAACAAAAACGTCCTGTTAATTTTAAACTCACACACGCTCTGCTTGTAGTGTAGTCCACGTTGAGAGCACTTTAAGGATCTAATCATTAGAAAGTCACAACCGAAATCGAATGTGTTTTATAGCATTACGTGCACATTGTTGTACGCCAACATCACACCCTCTGCATGTCCTTCATTCTTAGACGTCCTCTTTGTCGAAGACCTTCAAAATCAACTGACTTCCATGAGTGATAACTTTCCTCTTCCATTTTGCTTGGTGTCTTCATCACGGGCTCTGTTTTGTCCAGACACAGTTGAAGATGTGGGATCAAACTGGCATAAATTGCAGAAAAGAAACTCAATGATCCGTAGATTAGCCTTAATGAAAAGAGCTTTCGTAACACCGCTTCCAACTGACTCATTTTCTACCTTCTTAAAGACGTTATCACGCAGTTTTTCCCTGCTTTCTGTGTTTTAAGAAGATTTAGGACAGTGCTGCGCTCAATTTTGTAAAAGTCTGATCATTATTTTAAATTCTAACCTCGCTATTCTAATTTCCTTTCATGAGATTGACGACCATTTGCCAGACGCTATTTTAATTTTCAATTTGATCTTCAATTTCCTTTTATATTCCAATCATAAAAACATTGTCTTCATTAGCTACGATCTTTACCTGAAATGATGAAAATTAATGCAAGCTTTTAGAGGGAATAAATTGTGAAACTCAATCCAAATATTTATTTCTATTAAATAAGAAAAAAGGGAACGTTGCATAATGTTACTTGCCTCTGTGGCATCGTCATAGTCTAATTGCTGTATTCTAAAAAAAATTACAAATTTCTTCATCGATTGCACTGAGTGGCCTACCTTTGCCTATTATCCTACACTAGTCACGTTTTCACCTTATTTTAAACTTTGTATTCTGTGGTTGACAATGGTTTTAGGATGACAGTAACGCAATACATGCTTTGCTATGCACACACTGGTTCCTTTTGCTTTCATCGCTTTGCTGCTGGCTTTTCAGTTACGATTTCATTTTCTGTTGAACTAAAAGCCTTTCCGCTTGCCAATCCCTCGAAGGCGCGTTGTCAGGATGCTAGCTGACAATGCCTAGCCACACCAACCAGCTTGTTTAAACAGGCCGTACAATTTTTGATTTTACTAGACAAGGAACGACAGCAGGCGCAAGTGCAGCAGATGACACAGCAACAGCAGCAGTTCCTCCTTCAGCAGCAGTACATGACAATGCTTAATAATCAGTCGGCGATGGCGGCGGCCGCGGCACTGGCACAGAGCCCCGCCGCGCACCTCCTGAACCCTGCGGGTCTGCGCTTCCCCCCACACCCTAACTCCGCGTCTCTCCTACTCGCCTCGACGCCCGCCGCCTCCAACGCCACGTCGTCGGCGATGGGTCTTGCGGCGGCGGTGATGGGCGGAGTCCCGTCCGCCGTCTCCCCCGTCACCTCAACCCACGCCGTCTTTCCCACCTCCGCCGGCAGCCTCTCCTCCGGTAAGACATGATTTTTTCGACTACTCTTTCAGCTCCACATTTCCGATTCAGTTTCGAGAACTACAATCGCCTTTATTCCATCATCCACTGATAGGTACTTACAAAAGTGCGAACATTTTTGCCATGATCCCTGCAATATTTAGTGAAATCATTTATGTTAACAGTTATTAGACACATGTACATGTACACATTTTGGCTAAACTTTTTGAATCAACTTATTGGCGAGAATAAGTCCGCCACAATTGCAGTCGGAAGAATTGTTAAATGACAAAATTTTCCATTATCAGGCAAACGACAAAACTTATGAATTAAAAAGTTAAAATTGCCATTGGATACTGTAACTGGATTACATAGTTGGCGGTTTCCGAGTATACCTCAATTGTCCAATCTGCGGAAATAGCTGATTTCGTAGGAATGATGCGTGAAGCATCCACTATCTCCACCTATTTTATCAGCTATGTGGCAATTTCTCAACAAGAAACCAACATAATACTCATGGAAAGGAATGGAAACTCAGATTTCAGAGTTGAACATTCATAATGTTAATTTATATAATTAAAAATTCTTCGAAACTTGGATCAAGCTAGTAATTTAGCCTTGGAACCAAACCTAATCTATCAATCCTAGTTAAAATAATAAATTCTAATTTTAAGTAATTCCAATGCGTCGGTTCACTGCCAGCTCAAGGAACTTAATGTTATCGTTTGGAGGATTTGCATGTCATCAGTTCCAAAAGATTCTGACTTGTAATGCTGATCTTCAAGTGTAGCGACCCTCGGTAGGGCTTGAGTGAGATTAACCTGCTTCGAAAGTATGAGAGAGGGAGGTTGGGAATCAGCCGTACCTGGAGAGTAAAGTCTACTTTTCTCAACAGATCAGTTTGCCGCACTGCTGAGCGCCGCCAGCGGTGGCCTGACTGCAAATAACGCGGCCGCAGCAGCGGCTGCAGCGGCAGCCGCCGCGGCGGCCACAAACGTGGACGGCAGCCAGTCGATGGCGGCGGTGACAGCGGGATTCCCCAGCCCCTTCCCATCCCTCCTTCCCGGCGCCTCCGCCCAACAGCCCACCGCGGCTAATCAGCAGGTCCCTCTTCGAGATCCGGCCACGGGTGCGATCATTGGTGACTACTCTGCCGGAAACGACCTTGACAACAGCTCAGGTAGGGACTCCTTTGTTCACCAGAGTAAATTAGCCATCACGCTGCAGTCGGTATGTCAATACAAGGCCCAGTTAACTAAAATGCAAATACAATGTAAAGAATATCTTTTTTAGGTAAATTCTAACGACTGACTTTCTAATTAAAGAATGGACTTGTCTATAGGTGCTATTGGTCCTAAAACAGCACATGTGTTTAAATTTGTGTGGGCCCGTTTTTTTCATTAGTTGCCTTAGCTTGTCATTTAAGTAAAAAACGTAGACAGATTGTTCTGCTGTAAAAGTTAAATCGCAATTACGATCTCAAAGTTGAAAAATTATTTCGGCGACTCACATACCCTCTATCTGAGCCTCCAATTACGTGAAATCTGTTAAGTTCTGTTGAAAGAGAGCCTGGGGTATCAAACATAAAATACAACCTTGCATGTAGGTTTTCGTTAAAGAATTAGTAGTCACGATTTTAATTTGATTAGCATCCCGAAACTGCTCCCGTTGTGCTTGGTGCGTTCAATCCCTGTGGAGGCAAATGTGACATGTCTATCACCTTAGAATCACATCACATTCGAGGTGGTCAAATGCTATTTTTGAATGTCACGCCGAATTTTAAACCGTTCTCACTTGCTGTTTACCAATGTCACCTTTATTTGAGATTTTAACTAACATTTCTGCAAATTTGACTGGAAAAATTCGGAAACTCATTGTCGTAATTCAGAGAATTATTAATGTGTCGACTTTCGGAGAGAACACCCTTGTGCACTTTTACCATCTGGTTTTTTGGCTAAAATATGCCAATCCAGTGCGATAGGTGGAAATTCACGCAACAGTTTTCGGTGAGTCTCTGCCGTTTGCGTGCGGACTTTCAAAAAATGTCACCATATTGTAATTAGAGGTTCAATTTAAAATAGTTTCCACGTTTTTCTGCTTATTTTTAACGCGGCCTTCCATATTACACACCTTTACGTTCATCCAACCCACCTGATACGAGACATCATCTGTCACTTTTAGCGTTTGGTCATGAATTACACATTACCTGTAAGCAGGTGAAATTCATGACAAGCACAAAGACTGTCTATCTGGGAAAGAAACGCTGGCAAATCCTAAGTGACCAAAGACGCGCAGTTTATAAAGACACCAGCTCAATGGAGTGGAACAGATTATACATTTAGGTAGAATAAATATAATGCATGAAATGAGATTATCACTTAAGTGAGTTGGAGCCCTTCTGATAGCACCCTATGTGAAACGAAATAAAATAAATCTGTCAAAAAATAAACTAACAACTTTTAAAATACACATTGAGGATTTGCAAGCTCAAAAATTCTCTCACATTGATGGCTTACTTTACCGGTGGCGTTCAACTAACAAGATCCTTGAAGGATTTTGGGATGCCTATGGTAAGGACTACGTACTTCTGGGATCCCATTTTTGTTTCACAAATTTAATTCAGTAAAACTTTTTTTCTAAATGAGTGGTATATTTGTTAAAAAATGTCATATTTACGTGAATGAAAAATTATAATAGATTTCCGGTTTGAAGTAAAAGCACACAGCCAAACCCGTCTCTGGGAAATTTTCTAAATTCCGGGTGGAGGATGAGGAGGGGATAAATCGGTGAAATGTTTTAGAGGGTGCACACCCAAGGGACAGGCGTCCCTGTTCCAGGTAGGAGCAAGCGATCATCCTATGATGGCGTTTTATTCAGTGCCGCATTGTTCCTTGTTGCCGCAGTCAAATCCCACTGGCATAAACAGCAGTCATAACACATTTGCCTCTGCTACTCCGGATGGTCAAATATTTTATTGCCATCCCTCTCTCTCTCTCTAAACGTGTGACAGCCTACCACTTCCCGTAATTTGGGCTACACTACAATCAAGCGCTGAAACATCAACAACAAAGTTAATCGTCAAAATAGGATATTCAAAAGTACAAATATGTGTCTGAGATTCTGTAACACAATCACGCATTTTATTTTTGCCTAGAGTTGTATTGGCTTGTTTTGTTTCCCTGCATTCGGTGGGCTGTAACAGCATTTTATCCACCGGTTATTAAAAATGGCTCAAAACCGCCTCTTCCGGATGGTCAGTTCTGTCGTAGCGCAAGTTGTCCGGCATATTTCATCCAAGAGCAAAACAATTTAGCGCATTTATTATCTTGAAAATGGATAAAGAGGAGTTAAATTTGTAAGAATAATCTTTTTAGAAGCTGGAGCGTCAGTTTAATCAATCAGCGAATTTTCCCTGTATTCAGCGCCTTTAATCGCCGGTTGTCGAGATTACAAAAATTGTGCAGCAGTCAAGTTTCAAAAGTTCAATTTAACACAAATATGCAGAATTTTGATCTCAATTTGATTTAAGTGGGCATTGCCGTGAGTTCATGGACATCTAAGTGCACAGGGTGACCCTAAAAATTTAACGTCATTAGGGTTTTTTATGTAGAAGTGGCTATCTAGTTTAGCGAAATTAAATTTAAAAAAACAAATAAAAGTGAACAAATAGGTTTGGTTCCATAAAAATCGTAGAAAAACCTGTTTCATGGCTTTCAAAGGTTTCAAAGCCAATAAAAGTGTTTAATTTGGGTGTGGTTTGTGACGCAGGATAAATGTAGTCGGTAGTTGAGTTCCTGTTAAAATCGCTTCGTTGTGTTCCGCACAACAGTGCCTAGATCTTCGGTGTTTCTGTCTTTGAGTAGGCAGCGGCTGAACATAATCTGTTCGGTGTCGAAATAGGTGAGTTAAAGAGGGTCTTCGATTGCACGTTGGCTTGGTCGAAAGCACTTCCGACGTATCCTCTAGGTATTTTCTTGTTGAGATATATCCACGCTGTGGTCTTTCAGTGTGATGGCGTCAGTTCTGGTGAACTCCATTAATTAGACTGATCTAGTTGCCTCAGTTACGTCAGATAGTAACAGAGCAGCCTAAGCTTCTGGTTATCGTCTGGCTTTAAAGCCTGGACAGGCTGAAGCTTCTAAGGGTTGATAGAAGGCCTTTTATTGCACCTTGCCAAACAGTTGACTTTGGAATCCATGTTTATAGGCATGCACTTCTGGCTGACTAACCATTTCGCAAAGAGGGTCTCCATCTCTTTTGAAGATTCTGCCCGTACACACGTCATTATTGAAGCACCTAATGGCATGTCCCTGTTTGGTTTAGTCTTTTGATTCTTGAAAGAACTGCTGACAGAGCCTTCATAATTGAACAATCGCGGATATTTATGCAACGCACTCTCTATTGCAGTACACACCATGTGTATCTAGCTTTTGAAGAGATTTTGGATTTTAGCAAAACAGCTGAGAATTTGGAAACTTTGAATCCGCTCCTGTTTGAAGTGAATAATTGATGTGGGAGAGACACCCGATATTTTATTTGCATTTCAAGACAGCGATTATTGAAACAATTCGTAATTTCAATTTACATAAATTTAATTAGGTGAACTGAAATACGATTTCGTGCGCAGGCAGTTAAATAACAAAGTCTTGAGGTGGGATTAAATAGGCGGCAGTTGTCACTTGCTCCGGATCTCGGCAGTCAGTTATGTTGCTGTCCGTCAAAGGCTCGTTCAAATGCATTACCATTGCCTGTGTCTTTGAATAAGTTACCAATGCGTTCGGCTCAACAGCGTGGTTAGCTTGCATTCAGAGGCAGAATGTCATTTAATAACAAGAGTAAAAATGTCGGACGCCAAACGTAGCAAAATTGCACGTTATTTCCTGCATTGTAAAGGCAATTTTGTATCAGCGGCTCAATTTCTTTTTTAACCTCCTCCAAGAGCTGAAACCATTGGGGTTTGGGCTTTGAAACCGTAAATACCCTGTCTACGGATCTGAATTCCGAAAATTTGGATTGGTTAACGGGATTGGTTAAAGTATTTCGGGGAACCCACGATAAAACCATGCCCGAAATCCTTATTTCTCCTTTTGAAGGCTCGCTGAAGCTGAGAACAAACAATGTTACCAACGTGAGAATGCACCCTTACCTTCGGCAATAAGGAAATTAATTTTATTCAGTGAGTTGGAATTGATTACACAGATGCTCATCCATTTCCCTTAGTTTTTCAATGTAAAAAATGCAAAAATTTGAAATAACTTTTTTTCTTATGCAAGGAAGTTGGCTAAATGAAAATCACTTGATGTTCATAACCTAAAAAGCGGAAGCATAATAAAGCCTTAATTTTTATTGGCTGTGAAGCCATGAGTATACATAAACATTGCTTAATTAAATATTCAGGTTTCAATGGGTCCCACCAAACACTCATCAAGTCTTACCTTAAAAAAGCAATAATAATGATTTGATATATTTTCTGCTTCTAAAGGATAACGACTGCCTTGTATGTCCTTTCTCTAAGGTTCAAGAAGGAAGCCAGCATTCGAATATGAACGTGCAACTCCATTCAGTTACGTACTAGGAAATATGCCCGCCAACACTACTTAAGTGATACATCAGTAGCGCCCTTGACGTCTTGCTTCTTTCAGTCTAGACGATGACAACAACTACGTTGCTGCAACCCTTTCCTTGTACTTGCTTATAAGCCTACTTGGTATTATGACTTATTTTTACTTCTCCCTCCCTACTTGAGCAACTCGCTGTTGCCGACCATTTTTACAACCACTTTTTACCACTTAATACCTCCTTATTCTCTGCAATTTGAAATCGAGAGTTGTGATGTAATCTCTGTGATATTCGAAGTGAACAACCGTTAAGCAACGTGGCTATGCAATGAAGGATGTGTTGTATTTTTGTATCGATTGCTGGTGAGACGACCCATCCCTCACCAAATTACTCACTCAAAACATATCTTTTACCAAGGATGCATGTCACAATGGGCTGTAAGGCCACAGCCCGTTTCCTCGTACTTCCCATCCCTAATTTGCATTATCTTGCCAAAATATCTTGTCTGACACAAAGTACTTTAATATAATCTTTATACTTATTTCGAAAAGCATTTCCGGTTTTTATTTGGTTTGGAATCGTTATGATTCACCTATACACAATAAAAACGGAGCTTTGGTGCTTAGTACGCTCAGTACAAGTATGTTAGCGTATAAGATTGAGTTCAATTATTTATGGTCCGACAGCATATTATACAAAAAATATACTGCTCTGCAATAAACACACCTCTAAATTATGCATAATTTGACTTCGTAAAAGTACGAAAGCCCGGATAATAAAGGTCCAGGGCAAGGAGTGGGATTTGCCATATCCTCATATGCGCCTATGGAGCGTTTTTCCTCAGCTACCATGCACATAAAAGCCAAGGGGTTTAAATAAGCCACCAAGTCACTGTGTCGATGACGGCGATCCTAAGGATTCGTGGCCTTGCACCAAAGGGAACCTTCTTCGTAATAATTTTCGCATTCGAAACAGTACAATTCAAGCCACTTTTCTACTAAAGAGGATCTTAAGGCCTCTAAAACGATCACCTCATTTGTGGGCTGATAAATGAGTTAATGGAAAGCATGGTTTCCTAGACGACCAGTAGCTTGACTTGTTGCAATATTTACCTCATGGGATTCCAACTTGGGCGATTGGGAACTCGAGGCAGATCATGGATCAACGAAAATGTGCTCCAATGGAGCCAATTAAAAGGAATTTCATTTCTCAAACCTAACAACTGCCTGGTCCGTATGATTAATATGTTTTAATGACATTTGAGGCAGCGACAATAACGAACTTAAGATCAGTTTACTTAAGCTATTGAGGTGATGAACTTAAATTGGTAAAATGGATTCCTCATATGCGCATAAAAAGTGTCTGAAGTCAATGGAAGCTTTATTGTATTAAGGAAACGTGGTTGGTGTTAGGATAAAGGCAAATTTGAGAACTCTAAAAAAACAGAGGAGAGCACAATGTCGGGCTAAACTAAATGAAAGGGATGCATGATGAGGCATATTGTGTAATATTTTCATTAATTAATATTCAAACTTGTTGTCCTTGTAAAGCGAAGAGGCAAGTAATTTTCTAGTGTTACCAAGACTTAGCGGCGTCATTTGAAAGTAATACCTTAATGGCTACAAGCCTTCAGAAAACAACGTGTCATGGTTATGTTCTGCTAAAACATAATTTTGACATTTAAAGAAAAGTACAAGTTGATATTACATTTGGTCTTCTTTGAAGTCGTTAAGCAAAACATTTAGGCAGAATAGAACAAATATCGATTTGAGTGGTCAAACCCCGTTTTAATTAAAGTATATAGAATTTGGTATGTGCTTGCCAATTTCCCGAAATTGATGAATAGCAAATTTACTATCATGAAGTTCATGATTGGTTAGTTATGAAGAATATATTAAGCTTGAATGCCAAATTACATTAGAGAGGCCATTTTAATAAAAGCACTAGATAGGCTATTTATTCGTGGAGTAGTCATTTTCCTTACACGTAGAAAAGCCAAGCAAACACTATTCTTTTAGCAGTGTGTCATTATATTTCAAACGAAAATCTAGGTTCTAGCGGAAAATCGAACCAATGAAATGGCTGTAGAGCTTATATAATACGTAATGAGTTGGCCTAGATAGGTGTTTCACATGCAGAATAGACATTACCTTAGATGTGTTAAAATACTCTTACTTATTGTACTTCTGGTATTGTTATGTTATGCGGCCCAACAAGCATTATATCCTGAGGCTGTACTGTTTTTAGAAAACAATTATTAGGATACCTACACCTTGCCTGGTATAGACTGGCACGTCAATATTGACAAGCCCACCACTGAAAAAGGGTGATATTCAAGAAACAACCACCGTTTGCCTGATTTCTGAAGGACAGATAATTGAATGCTTGAATTAGTGTTCATTGGTCTTCAGTAGTACTGACTAGTTAACATCTACTTCCAAGTCAAGGATACATAAAGGTGGTTAGATTTCAACACATCATTCTACAGCGTTAGTAGTAAGAATGGAAGTGTGGCATTAAGGTCACTTACAAGCTAAATTAGTTGCAAAGGATACACCCTTCGCAACGCATTATCAGCTCAAATTCCTCTTGTCACATTTTGGAATGGAAAAGATGGATAGGACGTATTAATTACTAAGTTTTTGTTAATTTATTAAAATAGTACGTGTTCTCCTATTGCGCGCTTCAGATTGACTTTGCGTTGGCATGCATTTCTAAATGCGAGTTATTTTTTCAGAAACAATGTGACCGCCTAAGACATATCAGAAACAAAATGACTGTACATGAGCAAAATAATTTGTATTATTTCCAAATCGTTGAAATGTTGACGCTACTCTCAGAATAACTATCAAACGAAATTTTATTTGGTCAAAAGCGTCAAATACTAAAACAGAACAACAATTAAAAAACCCAAACATTTGGGATAAGTCAAGTAAGCCTTGTTTGCTTGCCTAAAGATCTGCATTTAACCACATAGTTATTAAACAACTTGACTTTATGACATCTAGACATGCACGAGATTCGTTTCCACGCGACTAATTTGCTATTCACACAAATGATTTGCAAAAGAGAAATCTATTTCTATTTTTCGATGATTCGAACCACTTAAATACAAAATAAAATGCCAATCTCTTTCCTAAATAGCTATAATATTGCAACATTTTTAAAGGTACGTTAATTTTTAAATAGATTGGTACAACATATTTTTAAGAGCCCAAAATTAACTAGCATATCAGTGGTTATAGCTATCATTGGCTTAAGTACAGTTTTTCCGCCTCTCAAGTAAGGTCTCGAAAACTAGAAAAGGATTTGACAATTAAAAATCGAAAAATGCTGCAGTTATTTTAGAATTGTTCTTTCTTATTTAGATCATTTAAAATTTTTTGTTGTGTAATAAATAGTAAGCTTACAGTACAAGGTAGCTAATTATTCCGCAGCCTTTTCTCCGTCGATCATCATTACCTTTGAAACATGATTCAATTTTTTGGTTTTATTTACTCAAAGACAAATTTTTGAATTTAAGAAACTGCGTAGCGTCTATGAAGGGCGCAAATTATTACCTGACTTAAGGCTCTGATTATATGCCTTCTCGTTCATTTATCACAAGTTTCTGTGACGTTAAGAAATAGCGGTGCTGTGCACATGGTGAAATTATCAACTACGTCTTTTTACCTAATACTTTTACTAAAGTTAGTTGTATTAGTCATTGTGAGTTTAATTCAATTATATAGATGCTATAAAAGGATCTCACTCAGCTTTTTAGAGCCCCATAATCTACCTTATTCATTTCCTTCAGTGACGTGCTACGATTCTTAATGAACTTCCATGATTATTTTCTATATCATACCTAAAGAAGTTAGGATTTCTGTATCTCTTTAGTTATTGCTTCATGTGCTTTCAGTTATGAAATCAGGAGTCTCGCGAAAAGTCAATGACCGGAGTCGGATTAATTCCGTAAATCCACACGTTGGTCTTTCACCTGCCAAATCGGGAACTTTCGCACCTCCTCTACATAGAGTGGAAAGTACAATTGATGATCTTATTGAAGAAAATAGACGCCTTCGTCAGGTCAGATGCCCTAACGTCAAATCACCATTAATGATTTTGAATTGCTACGGAAATTTTCGTAAACACGTATTTTATGAATATACTTTATTTTTAACGTAATGATTGATTCAGAAAGGTCTTTTATTCGATTTCTTACAGTGTTTAGCCGAATATCGTGACAAATGCAGCTACCTTGAAAAAAAGCTCAAATATTTTGAAAGGGACAAACGAAGGCAGGTTGGTCCATCAGTATTTTACTTTGACTTATATAGCAAGACGAATTTCAATCAATGCTAGATACATTAGCTGTATGTTGACTGTTGCTTTTGTTAGTGATGATATTAGGAGAATTCGGAGGACATTGTACCGAATCAGGAGACAGTTCGTCTGATTTCAAAACTCAGACGTCGGATTGTTGCTCTAGAACGGTGTGTAGACGAAAAGGATGCTCAACTTAGGTAATCCTCCTCAACTAAACAAACGCTCAACCCTTTGCTATGATTTTTAATGTCTTTGTAGATTATTACCTTATAGAATTCCAAAACAATTTTGACTTCCTTTTTCAAGGCCCTTATTGGATCACTAAGTTATGACATGCTAAAGAGCATAAGCATTCATTAAAATTAAATTCAACGTCTTGTAATGTCTTTGATGCAATCTTGTGTCATTGTGTGTGAAAATTACTGGCAGACTAAAACTCAAGCAAACATTTCCGTTTTAAGTGGATGTCTTGATAGATTGAGTGGACCGACCACAAAAGTAAAGCTGTAGGGCAATATCCACACTTCCCAGAGAATAACTTTAAAAAAGAAATGTCACTAAATCCTTTCCCTCATTATGCCATGTCTAGACTGAGGGATATCATTGCATGACTGACGACAATGCTTACAAATGGGAACTTCGGTTGAATGTATTTGATTAGAACCATGCTATTTCTTCAAGAGGTTCGAAAGTGGGCCGATTAAGTTTGTCAAGCGTTAACTGTGTGCATTTGCACTCGTAGGGCTTTTCAAGGTGACGCCAAACGATGCAAATTGAAGGAACTTCAGACGCAACTCCAAACTGCGATGTGTGATGTCGAACGTCTCCAGAATACTGTTGATAGCCAACAGAAGAAGCTACATGCGCGTCATTCCAATAAACAGGAACGCCAAGTTCGGATGGACAGTGAACGTGCAGTTGAGCGGATTGCTTTTCAAAAAGCCCTTGCTATTGTAAACGCCAAGTGTGAAAGTTTGGCGAAGCAGAATGAGGAGCTCAGTGACAAACTCAAACGCTGTAAGCTGGCACGTCATCACTCTAATCCTCCATTTGAGTACTCATTATTTAATTGCATTCTTTGTGTCTGACCGTACTTACGTAGTACAAAGGGTACGTAATCGAAATGTTTTTAATTGTTGATTGCATTATTCGGTCTGACTCGGTGCTCTTGCCAAGTTCCAAAGTAGTTATATTTTGGCAGTTACAGGCTAACGTTTGACAAGGTCACTCAAACACAATGTAATTTGTTTTTGTATGAAAAATGAGTTCTTTGTACCAACACAGTGTTTTCAGGCTCATCGACGTAATTAAAGAGCGTATTGAAAGTTCGACTAGAATTGACAAAGCTATTCTTCTTGTTTAACTTTAAGTCACTGTACTCTAAACCTACATTTTTCATTGCAGTATCTTCCCAGCGCAGTTCAAGTGTCGATCCCCGCGACAATCCAATTTCATCCAACTTGAGTTACGACCAGGCACACGTAAACAAGTCTTTAATGGAATTGCGGGATTCTATAGAAGTCAATTATCTCACCTCTTTGTGTGTACTTTTTTTAAACTGAAAATCACTGAAAATTTTCATGTGCTTACACCACCCATGCTTTTTAGAGCTACAATAACAAATCTGCGACGACAAATCCCTCAAGACGATGCGTAAATTCACACACTTCTGCAGCATATCCAACCGTTTGTAACTATTTGACAGGTTATTTTTTTGCAGTATATCTCAGGTCGAACGCGCACCCTCTACTTCGAGTCGTCATCGTGGCACTTCATACAAATCCGACCGACTAAGCGCTACGACTACGCCACCAGTGTATGAATTATGCACGATTAACACAAATCACAACTATTTTAAAATTATCCTCTCTTATTTGGTTAATTGTATGGGTTTTATTTACTACTCACTTATACATGTTATGGGAATGTATGGGCTTATATGCACAACTGTTAGTCAATTTTACTTTGTTAAATACTCGGTATATTCAATGAATTTTGCACTGAATTACAAAAAAACCGCAGATTAATGGTGACAGCTTAGGTTTTATAATAAAGCGCCAGCAAAAGGCTTTTTGAGTTGATGCCAGTAAAAAAATCAGAAATGTTTAAAATCATTACTTGGCCTCTCTAATGCTTTTCTCTAAGAACCAAAGTTGGAATGATTGGATTTATGATTAGGGCTTAGGGTAAGTTCATCCATGAAAAATGGAAACATTATGGCAATTGAAGACACCATTGAGTTTTGTATTTAGCTCCTTGGTCTCCCAGTATACGGAGCATCAGTCGAGGGACCCCTCCTCCTCCAGGTGCGGAATTTTGAAGCCTGTATCGGACGATGAATGTCCAGACAGTGTGTCGGAAACGGAGGTAAGCCAATCTGTGCCCGGCATACTCTTGATGCACCTGTTCTTCAATCAAGGCCGAAATTGTTGCATGTTTCACCACCTTCAAGTCTCAACAAGCCCGACTGAGTATATTTTGCATTATTTTGGTGCGCTCATTCCGTCAAAACAGATATTGCGCCTGTGGGCAAAGTCATCTTTTGGCGAAAAAGTTGTCATTTTTTTGAAATAGGGTTGATTTTTTTCCACCGCATTCCCTGATTGTCGTAAAAATCCGCTTCTACTGTACCGAACAACAACTTGTGAAAGAATAGTGTGCGTGCTCGATGTACTTTAGCATGGTTGCTTTTAGTGAGGGAAGTAGGGCGATTGGTTCAGTAAAGAATATGTGGAAAGGCTACTTTCTGTGGAGGAATGTCCTAAAAAATGCGACTTGTTACAGATAATAAGGTTCCCAAAATTATCCATTATTTTCTTCCAAAAATTGGCCACTGAATATAAAGCAACATGAAACCTATGTTTATTAAACACGCAATCGAAAATGACAACACAACATCGAAGGCAGTCCAAATTTAAACATTACTCGGCGCCACTCGTACTTCATGACACTAGGTAACCACTTCTACCCCTCCTTAATGTTACCTTTCATCGTATCTTTAAATTCTAATGGAATTGCTTCCAAAATTTATTGAAGTGTTTTGAGCAAGCAAAGGCACGTAACATGCAAAATTAGATTAATAACAGATCTGCTTTGTGTTGAACAAATTAGTAACATTTAAATATAACTCAAGTTCTATCCCATAAGTGTACCTTTTATGTCTTTTATAAAACTGGTTTCGCCCTATTACTGGAGTGTATTAATTAATGTGTTCAATTGCTTCCCTAACCCATCTAATTTTGTTGAATCAAAACTTAGCTTTTCTTTGTTTGACTTAATCCTAATTTCCTCCCCCTCTTTAATTTTGACGTGTTTTTTACAAAATTAAAGAGGGGGCATATTTTATTCTATAGAAAAGCCATGGAACCCAGATCGGTGTTGTTGCGGCATTTCAATAATGAGGCGACTTTTCCTTCACTCAATTCACTCCTTGTTTTAATTGAACTTGTTCTTAAATGCAAATTGGTGCTTGAGGCTGTTCCTTCAAATGCTTGGCTAAGTGCAAACAAGTAGGTCTGTAGCTCTACCTTGCCAAAAGTCGGAATCCTAGGCTTCGATTTTCGTCTTATGTCGTTGCTATGCCGGCCCGCATATTTGAATGCTAACCACAGCACCACGAAGGGACAACTACGGCGCCGGAACAACTCCAATCATGTTCTTAAACAGAAACCCCCCTTGTTCGAGCGCCTTTCCATGCCGTTAGAAAATAACATTTGGGCAAAAAGAGGAATCTTTGCTAGTTAAAGTCCTGTATTTCCAAGGCAATGAAAAAGGGGCAATTAATATTGTTGACTCAGAGGGCATTACTTTCATAACCTAAAAAAGCAGAAACATGTAAAAACAGTTATGCCGAGGATCATAATACGCTTGCAAAAGCCTGTTTCGTCAACTAACGTATAACCGCATTAATCACTGAGAAATTGGACTCAAAGAAAACCCAAAATGAGCTTGGAGCGTGTGTCTTAATTAAACCTGCAACATTAGGGTTATTTTCAGACGCTGACACTTGATTTTCATTAAAAACGCGGCTACCGGAGCCATTGGTGTAAAAAGCAGTTATTTTTAGCATGAATACCTACACCAAGTGCAGTCCCCAAGACCTGGTATGTTTTTTGCCAGTAAGCTTTGATTTTGAATCATGACACGCAGTTGTGCAAGTGGCCTTTTCCTGCAGTCCTTTTGGATGAGTTTAAGAGTGGATAAAGTTAGCGAAGTGGAAGCCTACGACTCTGCATAATTATTCTTACCTTGTACTAAGTTGGAGAATCGAAGGTCGCCTCAAGGCCACCTGCCGCAATTCCACAGACGTGGCAGACAGGCGTTACCGCATCCGCAGCCACCGCAACCGCCACGGCCACAGCTACACCGAAAAACAGCAAAATAAGACCAAATTGTAGCCTACCTTTACAACAGCTACGATCGCAGAAACGTGTCTGTTGTGTCTGAGTTAGATTCTACACAAAAGTGCCAAAAGGAAATATTTGCATGCATCCTTAGAGGTCTGGCAGTTGTTTTTCCTGGTAGCAAATTCCTGAAACATTGGTTTAACTTTGCGTGTTCATCTCCTGCATTTGTGCTCACAGCTAATTGTTTTATTGGAAAGGCGGACATATTTCTTAGCTGGGGTAACTAAAACCCTTCTGAATTTCAGTCTATACAATTTTAAATACAATAATTGGAGCGATTTTATGCCAGTCGGTGAGTCTAATTTGACATCAAATCCGTGGGGTCGTGGACTCACCAGCCACCACAACCGCAGCCACAACCGCAGCCACAACCGAAGCCGGCGCCAGCTCCGCACGGTCCACAGCAGTCAAAGGCGTATCCGCCGTAGCACCCGTAGCCCGCGTAGGAGCTGCAAAGTAGCGAAATCAGAAATTTAATGTCCCTACACGTCGCTAACTTTTTCTGCTAGCACACGCCCGTCACTAGTCACTGGACTTTGCTGGCTAGAAGGCTTCTATTTAAGGCAAACTGAGTTATTCGTTCACGCACGTTTGCACAGCTGTCCGAATCGGTTTGTACTTTTGGCGCTAGATGGTTCAGTGCGATAGATGTCACCTTTGAATGCCAGGTAACGAGTACTGACGTATCGGGTCGCAGTGGCTGTTTAGACAGATGAGGTCTCATCACAGATTACCTACTGGAAACCTAGTCTGGGTAGTAACTTCAATACTATTGTGCATTGGAACCCCCTCTCCTCCCTGCAATGCACACCACTTACTGGTCAAACGAATGGTAATGTTTTAGAGTTTTTGTATTGCCGATGAAAAAAAAACGAGAACTCACTTGCATCCAGTCCAACTGCAAGGATCGTAGCAGCCCATGGTGGAGTTTCCGAATGATGAATTGCTTCGTTCGAAGAAGCGAGAGTGCTTATATACCCACCAGGACTGCGCACTAGGCGCGAGAATTGCGTCTCTAACTTAGCAGTATTCTGAGAAAGCTCAGGACGACCGCGTAATTTGTACCTTTCTCACGATTCCTATGGAAACTCATTGATTTTTGTATTTGCCTCACTTGATTAGGATGCAAAGAAGTGATTTTGATCAGCATTTTGTGCTGTGGGCGGGGATGTTCGTTCAGTTCGCGACTCGGCACAGGGCGGACGTTCGTGGTTAAACGAGTACCCTTAAAGTCACTGAGCACCCTTTGCAAGCACGGCAACAAGTTTATTGTCATGGGAACTGGGCTTTTGTTGCAAATAATTACTTGTCTAATCAATTCTCCCACTGTTTCCTCATTTCCAAAACAGTAACGGTGCTGTAGTAAAGCAAACCTTTAAACTTAAGCAGGCCTGCAACTTGCTCGGGAGTTTTTCTTTAGCCCATTAAATCAGATCTCTTCTGAAAATAAATGAGATAATATTCGCATCTCCAGAAATTTCGTCGTATCAAAAAAAAATGTAGTTCTTTTGACTATTCGACGTGGATATGACTTAATGTATTTCCGGTGAATCATATATCATGGTTAAGTCACTAGTCCACTTAAATTGAACTGAAACCATCGGAATTTAGACGGGAGAAAATTTTGTGCTGTGTGGCATTTTGTCGAAGCTGTGTTGTCTCGATTTAGTCACGGCACGAACTGATAGCAGATCCATACTGAGATCCAAACGTTTCAGATCATGAAGATGCCTTTTTGAAGATGCAAAATTTGTTTTAAATTTGAGAAAAAAAACTTTGGACACTTTGTATAGCTCAAGCACTTTGCCTGCTTGAAACCAAAACTGATTGCAAGTTTGAGAAAATTTTATTGTCTGTCGGAGGTGCGAAGCCATTTTGCGGCCATGACTTAATTCACTGTTTTGCGTGTATGGAGGTTTTATTTCTACCCCTGGTTTTATGACATTGTTGATTGGTTGGAAATTGGCACTATTTAGTGTGCCACCTGCCCGTGTTATGGGGTGTGTTATCAACGTTCTTTGTCGTTTTTCTGCCTGCCTGATTATTTCCACTTTGTTGGACCTTGGACAATTTACCTACATTCTATTGATGGATTTGCTTCTTGAAATGCAAGGGTTTTGCTAATAACGCTAATGAAAATATCTTGTTCCCATACTTCAATCAAGACTGAAACGCATTTTCTAAGTTAATGGTTTAGGTCAAGCCTTTAGTACTTCTTTCTAAGTCCAAATAGCGCAAAAATCTCCTGAGTTAGGCCAGAATGAGTTCATACAATTTCAAACCGACTTGCATAATAACTGATTCAACAATCGCTAATATTTTATTGTGTGGTCTTGTCGAACGCCGCGTATTTCCAAATTTGCAATGCAATATCGACATTACTGTCATAACTACAACAGTTTTGGTTATTTTTTTAAAGAGACTGGCAAGTTTTCATGATCTTGCGTACTTTTAACGAGCCTGACTACCAGAGGGTACTTTGTTTTAAGTACAGTGTTCTTGATTTTTTTAGACTTCGATGACGTCGTCGCCGTAGTTTCGAAATGGTCATCTGCACCAGTTCAGCTTTACAATGTCTCCGCAGATTACTGAGAATTATCATTATTTTTGTCATTCCATGAATTCAATGCCACAGTCAAAGTAATAATATATCATCACTTTTTTTTAAAAAAAAATCCCAAAACTCCTTAGCAATTAGCCAAAAGGAAGGCGCAGACATGTTGTAGGGGAAACTCAAGTTTAGTAGCATATCCTATTTGCGCTTTTCAGATGTTTTGTTCAAAATACTGCGGGTTAATTTGAGGCAACTTTGAGTCCAAATAAATAAATTAGAGTATCAACTTTAGTTTAAACAATAGGCATCGGGAAACAATAGAATTGCCTTGGTGATGGTCTCTAAGCCATTGTGTTACCTTATTCCGCGCTATATTAGGGTCGATCTGGTCACATGGCCTGTTGAAACTGCGAATGTCGGTGGTCGCGAGGACAATTACGCACAATTAACAGTCACATTTTAAGGTTAATTACGATGAGGGCACATAATCACACATAGTCATTTACGCCACAAATAATTACTGAACCAAATATTCCGTCTACTCAGCCCCGTCAAGTGTTTAAAGAATAATTTCATCAATGTTTTTGCTAGAAATCACAATAATGGTCACCAAATAACTCATTGGGATTATAGGCAAAGAAAGATCTGTTCGATGAAATAATAGTGGTGCTAGGTAGTTTGATGAGAAGAGTTTCCATGTTTCGCATATTCGGGTCAAGGATACTACTTGCTACCTCAACTTATCACGATTTCCCAAGTCAATTTATTTTTTAGCTGAAACATTTTAATGCATCCAATCAAAAGTGTTCGAATGGCTCATAACCGGTGATACAAAGGGCAAACCAAGTGCCAATCATCACCGCAACAAGAGTATCCACATGCCATACTCGCGGATATTTGGGTGAACAGTTTAGGCACGCTTTTCTATGCTGAATTTTTTTGAGGCAAAAACAAAATTAAACGATAATTGTCGTTCGGTGATTTTATGGCTTCCAATTTTTTGAGGTTTCGAAGAGCATCAGACCACAAATCGAAGTTGTAGTTAAAGATTTAACAAAAATTATCACATTTTTGTTAAATTTGCAAGGCAACCCAGACGTGTTTCCATCGTTTCTAAATCGCACTTAAGTATGCGAAGTTCGTTATAAGAGGCACAATTAATTTAAAACGCTAAAATAGCGTTAGTTTGGAAAGAAACGTCTGTTTGCTCAGAAAATTTCCATGCCAAGTAATAAAGTTTTTTCTATTACAAAGTAAAAAAATTACGCATGCATAATATATTTTGCAGGAAATGCATAGGGACAGCCAAACGGAAAACACAGTTTATGTTGGAAATGAGAAAAGTAATAAGCTATTTCTTACTTTAAGTAAAATGTCGTATAGGCTCAAACGTCCAGATTCTACATACTTTTCATCTTATATCATCCATTAAACCTATAAAAAGAGCATGCCCGTAAGTGCGGGTGATTAAATCAACGATAATAAGGTCATAAGCATAGCGTGATATCAAATAATTATAACTAATAAAAGTTCATTTAAAATGTCTTTACGCGATATAAATGAACTAAGGTTTTAAAGTATGCTTCAGCAACATTTGGTCAACAAATTATTGGGACCTCAGAGTGGGTCTTGAATTGCTTCGAAGCCGCCAGGTTTGATTGACCCGATTAAATTACAATGACATCCGGTTAGAATAAGGAAGCGGGGCATGGCAGAGATGCAACTTTTTATTCTCTGTTTTAACACCACTGCGTTATGTCGTAGGACAAGTGCAAGTCATTGTTTTTGATACGATTATTTTCCAGTGTAGGGTAAAGTAAAAGAACGATATTTAATATCTGTAGAACCGCGAAAACAGCGAGCTAAGAATTTATTAAAAAGACGTTCAGCCACGAATTATAATCATATTAGCTAATCATTTAAGCCAACTCCTGTCCGGATACCTCAGTAATTCCCTACCTCCGCGTCTCATCATTTATGTGGACATGGCTGAATATGCTCACATACATTTTAAATTTAAATCAATGTCTTCCATGCACAAGCGTTAAAATGCAAATCCACACAACTGCTTTAAACCACATAGTGTACGGCTATTTCCATCACCCTTGGTCTTTTCATTTCTTCCGAAATGAATCTAAGACCCATAACAAATGTTCTACCAATCCAAGACCCTGACATGATTGCCCGGTTCACTAGGAAACTTGGCTAAAATTATCCATTACACAGAAGTTGGGTTAACGATGCCCTATAAAACATTTTTAAAATAATTACTACAATAGGTTGTAAAGCAAGCCAAATAAAAGAAACCAGGAGCTACTAAGAACTGCAACTTAAAAATAACGGATATATATCTTGTTGTTTTGCACAACAGAAAAATTCCTGTAAATTACTCTCAGTGAATTTTCGAAAAAAGTGCGACTTGTGAATTGTAAACTTACACCCTAGTACAAACAACATAACACTCAATCTATTTCTTAAGGTCTGATAACGTAGCATTAAAACATGTGCTCATCAGTTTGCCTGAAACACTGTAGAGCGCTGACCCGACAATAAGAAAAGCCTTATCACTAATAGTTAATCAGCAATTTGGTAATCACATCAATCACTACCGGGCTAACTTAATGGACACAAGCATTAATAATTGTGTAAGTGTCTCTTGCAATTCGGAAATGTTTAACGCAGATTAAAATTTCAACTCAATTGTCAAAATTTCGGTATGAGTAAATAATATTACGCACTTGACGTAAATTCGAATGACATTTTACTAAAAAGAAAATTTAAATAAAAGATGTCATTTAAAAACATATGTGGTGATTATAGAATTTCGAATGTCGTCTAATATAGATACTTAGCGGAATCATAACTATTTAATGTATTAGCTCAATTCACGTAATATATTGCACCTCGGAGTAATTGCCTTAGGCCTAAACGAAAAGTTGATTTCTGTCACAGCATATACTGGAAACTGTTGATACCTTAGGTAAAGCTTTTAAATTCATTTTGTGAACTGTTTCGTTTAGACCACTTGGCTGCTACAATTCATGAATTTGACAAAATACACAATAGCGATAACGCACAAAATGATCAATATATAAACATAATATTTTTAGACCTATGATTTTTTGTTTCATTGTCTTTGTTTTGATTAACTGAGGCCAGGAGCACAAAATAAACTATATCAGGCGCTGCTACTTCTGGTCGCTGTTTACAATGTCGAAGTCGGTGAAGCGGCTGATGGCTTTTCGAAGGAAATTATACTGCTTAAGATTGAGACGGTTTGCACTTATGCTCCAAAACTGTCAAAAAACCGAATCCTTGCTTTGTCTACTTGGGCGTTTTACATACACATCATTGATTCATTGTGGTAAATTGGCTACACTGCAAAAGTTGCGGTTTTTCTGGAACCCGACTCATTTTTTTGTTAGAAACATTTGAATCACTGTATTGCGATCGTCAGCGCATTATGTGCATGATGTGGATTTTGTTGTCACGGCATATGTTCGCTGAGGCGGCTAAGTTAATGGTGTTTGCTATTCACAATTACTCCATGTCGCCCTCATGGATCTGGCGTGCTGCCTTTCATATTTTCCGGTGTGCGCGACGTCCAGCAGGTTTGTGCATATTCAGTAGGTAAGCTCTCGGTCTTCTACATGATTACGTCTGGCCGTTGCGCGCTGTTCTCAACATTGTATTTTACCTCGTGAGTTTTTAATGACCTCCCCAACCTGGTGTATTTGGTTTATAGCTTTATAGGGCATCACTCGGTTGTATGTAGTATATTTGCCAAAGGAGCCGCGGTAGCTTCACTCATTAAAAGTCTTATAAGGCTGTTCACCCATGACTAAATAGCTAAGCCATTTCGTTTGTGTGTAAATTTAAAGGTTTGTAGTGGCTGTGAATTTCATTTAAAGCATTATTATGTCACGTATTTACCCGCGCTTTTTTCAGAAACATGAATCCATTTCAAATGATCGATGAAAATAATCGAATTTTGGAAGCCATTCTCTCTCAAATGGTAATTAAAAATTGGGAAGGAGCGGTTGCTGAGAGGCCGGATAAACTAGTAAGTACTCAGACGTAACATTGATGTAGACTTCAAGTCCTTCCTGTTGTTTGCTTGAGCATTATGAAAATTCAAACTATTTGAGCTCTGACGGTTTAATTTCAGTTTTTGAGAAACAATTACCATTTTATTTACACACTTTTGCTGTTAGCATCATTTGTTAAGTTTGGGTTTGAAAGTAGCTTCTGTCAACACCAAGGTTAAATATTGATCATGCTGTTACCTGCTTCTCCGTAGTCAAACGTTGCTGTGTGTTTATAGTACTTTTAAGTGGCGAGACTAATTTTTGTGCCTCTGTTCATGCTCTGTTTTAGTCACAGAAAAGGATGCGGAACGTCGACCTTTCTCGGGAACCGGAGTGTCTTCATGTGCAAAGGTTACAAAGACTCTACGAAGGTCTTAGTTACTTCGCTCTTTGGCATCTTAACAAGGATAGACCATGTATGTGCTTCCACCGGTGTGACTTTTAAATAAGATGCCAAATCGTCTGTGAGAATATACTGAAGGAGTTATTTAGGAGGTGTTTTGCAAACTTTATTATAAACTATAGCTGTTGTGTTGAACCGCACTCTCATTTCATCTGTAATTTCTTTGTAGCCGGAGCACAGTATTTGGAAAAAGCCAAAAACAGATTTTCTGAAGTCGAATCGCTTATTGACCATGGTCATATTTGCGATGTCTTTATTCGACCTTATGTTCATGTGAGTATCTTTAACTTCTTTGTTCTACACACGAAAACACTTAAACGAAAGCCTTATTGATGTGTTAGTGTTGTGACCGACAACGCGGGCAACGAACTAACGGCATCTCGTATTAAGTGTTCCCTTTAGCCTCTTGGGGCTATGAGTTGGCAGCGGTGACAGAACGCTGACTTGTGAGCAAATCACGGTCTATGAGTTGATGAAATTTGGTGTGAGGTTGAACTTGGTGGAATGAATGTAGCAGAAACCTAATTCATTGGGTCTCCGTCGCACTTTTGATGCGCAAGATTAGATGGCTATGGTTTATAATTTTGCCACTTGTGCGAAGGGCCTTAATTTGAGGAAAATGATTTTATAGCGTGTTATCTGGGACTAGAAGCTTTTGAAGTAGACGTGCAAAGTTACAGCACTACTTTATTGTTAGATACTCCTCCATGAAGACCAGGCGTCTGAGGCCCTGGAACTCCTTCAGAAATACGCCACTCAACAAACTAACAACCCCAACACGGACTACTATCTCGCTGAGTGGTACTTGCACACAGCAATCGGTCGCAGCGCCTTCCCAGAGAATGCAGATGAATTTCGAGAGGTGCTTGAAGAAGCTTTGCCCGTTTCGGTGGACTGTGAAGAAATGCCGCCTCTGCTTAAGCACTTAGTTGCCTTCTCACTCCGTCTCCTCCCTATGCCGGCGGCGCCGAATTTGGTGGACGCAGATAAAAGTCGGCATTGTATTATTGCTGACATCTGCTGCAGTCGTGGTAAGTCGCCATTGTGTACCTACGGTTCATTCAATTAAGCACCGGTACTCGTTGACTTGGCATTCTCAGGTGAGGCATGTCCGACTACCATTTTCAAGAAAGCAGTAGATTTTTACTGTTCTTCTGAGTCGGCATGATCAGTATGACTAAATTTTTTATTCTTCTGCGCCTCAGATGCGGACCTATTTTACCTTTGCCTTCCGTCATACTTCTTTGGTATGCTGTTATCTGCTTCCACGTACAAAGGTTTCTTGGATTAAGTGATTCCCCAGCGCAAGTCCCAGCCACCATTTCTGTACTGTGGGCATGAAAAAGTGGATTTTCATGTGCTTTAAAGTGACATCGTATTCGTTGTAACCGCGGTGCCTGTTAATTTAGTCAACCTTCACATTTTATCGTTATCCGCTAAGTTGAATCAACTGCATCAACAACGGTGATTAGTTTGCATAGCCGATTATCCCACACAACGTGTCTAAAAACGGCAATTTCTTTATTCTCTGTTACTCTTTCGTCTAAAACCCCTCACACCTCATCTCATTAGGATTTCCAACTTTTCCACTGCTTCGCAGAGCTGGCCTTTTTTGCGGCCTCAACTCCGCTCCAAATTTTCGCACTGTTTCTTCGCAGTTTATTTTGTCACCGTCAATTTTGATTGTCATGTAGGGCGTAAAATCCCTAGGATTGGTTCATTGCTAACCCACATTCACCTGCCCTGGTTGCCACTGTGAAAGGAACCCGTCCATTTCCCATCTCCCCATCCGTTGCCACCGCGTTCGTTGAAATATGCCTCTTGGGATTTCGTACAATAGTGTACCTTACTTGCGTATATCAGTATGATTGAGTTCAGCTACCATACAATGAAAAAAATTTGACGTGTTTACCTACTGTTCTCAAGTTAGTAACGTCTTTGAATAGCTTTTATCGGGACATGGAATCTTCTTCCGCTGTCTCTAAATCACTTATTCAAACTCAAAAGTTGGACCGAGTCAGCGAAGGGCTCCCATCCACGCGTCTTGCAGTTGAGATCTGCTATCGGAATCGCACAAACTTGTCTATCTTGCTTATTGTCTGGAAATGGTACCGACTTGTTCAGAGGTACTAGGTTAAAGATGCTGTCAGTGACTCACAGAAGTAAGACTCTTCATTGGATAGCGAAGCCCTATGTGACCGCCTACCACCGATGTTAGTTTCAGCATACGGACCAAACACACTGTCATAGCTTACGTTTCCTCCTATTTTTTATCCCAATAGCTTCTGAAGTTTCATATCTAAGTACCTCGGGTCTTTCATTCTCTAGTTTACTTTAACCTTCTCTTCGGTTTCTGACCCAACAGTCGTATCAGTAGTTGCTGCACTGCGTCAAGTACTAGTCCCAGTTTTGTTGGGATATTGCTTGCAAAAATATGTAAGATTGTTGTGGGATCAGATATTGACATCGATCTTATTACCAGCTATCTCCAATAAAAGTTGTTAGAGGATTTTCTGATGTCAAATGGTACAGCCAAGTACTTCCACGAGACGCTTTTTTGTATTTAATTTCTGTTGTGACATTCGGATCTATTCCAAACCCTTGATCCTTGTTTACTCACGCCAACGCACCGTCGTTTTTCAGGTTTCCATGAAGCTGCCTTGGACATAGCCTTCAAACTGCTCGACCATCCCTCTTGGTGTCGATTTAGACGGCCTTGGCTACTCCTGCAAACATGTATTTCAAAAATCGGTATTTCGAGGTATGTCTTTTCACTTCTGGAGGTTGTTCTTGCTCCTTTTTAATTTATTGTCAGCAAAATCGCCGAATTACAGTCAAATTTGCAAACTAGTGTGCTACTAATGAAATCGTGCTCAAAGATTAACGCATTGCCATTGGAGCTTTATTAACAGTTTCCCTCAATTTTCAAAACTCCCAAACCGAACTGTATTGGTAAGACAGTATGGGTCGGAACTCGCCCCATATTTCGCAATGACTTTTCTGTTGAAGGCGAACTAAACGTGAATTGTTGTTTATTATTATGCACACACACAAACCTCCCTTCTATGCATCATTGCACATTTGTGAGGTGATTTGGCTTCAGAGGACATCAAAGCATGTGTAAATCATGTTTCGAACCTGTTGAAACCGGATTACGCAAAAGTGAATTTCGTAAGGAGAAGCGTCAAAATCAGTTTGGCATCATTCAACATTGAATTACTACCTTCTAAGCACGTGCCTTCCTGGGAGTATTGAAGGTGTTGTGAACTTCCGCCCGACTTGGTAGTTCAACTATTTGGTCGTGTGTGTAGTGACGAATTCCATGTGGCCTTAAATGTGGGTGTCGTTGTGTATGCACTCTGCTTTAGTGTGTTGCGGGACCCAGCATGTGGTCTTGAGCCACGCCGGGACCACGGAATTAACCCTGGCCTGATTACGTTTTCCTGATATCTGTGATCAAGAAGAAGATGGGAGTGGACGTGGACATAACCGTTTACTTCAGAGCTCAGCCACGTTGGTGTCGTTATGTCGTGTGTGGGGTTTGCGCATGTGTATTTATACCTCAGATGTGTGAGTAATAGATGAGCTAACATCGGGACCTATGTGTGAGGATAATCCAAGACAAATAGTGTGAATAAGGGGGAGTTGAGGATCCGCGCGGCTGACGACATGCTGCGAAAAGGAGAACCCAGTGTCGGAGGTGGATCGACCGGATTAAGGGATGTGAATAAACACGATTCACAACAAGTGCTTTGCTTATGTATTCGTATTTGTGCGTAAATGCTTGAGTTGTCAGTTGTGTTTAGAAGTGCTCACAGTATTCGCTTTGTAAAACCCATGCGAAGTTTTTCGCCACACCTTCCCAGCTATTAAATTCTTATACATCTCGTAGGTGCACGCATTGTGGGGACTCATTTGGTGTGTTTTATTAAAGAAAATTTATTCCAGTTTTGATGTAGAGTTCGGTGTGGATCATTGCATTGTTAGAATGAATGCTTCGCTAGAGAGCTAACTGCGATTGCATGATTGACGACTCCTTTTCACAACCCATTTCGCTCAAGTATTGCTCTACTAGGGCAAGTGTTAGTAAAAAAGCATCTTTTTGAAGTTGTGGTGCAATTTCCCGAGGACTATCGACATATAAGCGTCACCCTGATTATGAACTTCTAATTTTTTTCCGAATTTTAGCTAGTTTTCGAAGCCTCCACCCCTACAGCGATCAGACATGGATTCACTTGTTTGAGTTTCGGGTGTGTCTGCTTACTAAAGTAGTGAGATATCGCTTTTCCTTGCAATGATATTTGGATTTTATATTAACTCAATCGACAAATTTTCCTTAGCCGTTGAAACAGTATACGTGAAGTCGGCCAAATTAGGCCTCAACTACTGTGCTTAGCACAGGTATGTGATTATTGCGATTTTTTCCTTGGCTCTAGCGAACAGGTCTCGAGATTGTGGACGCTGCGGACTGCTACGTGGAAACTGTACGTACTTTCTCGACCCGATCTTTGTGACGAGGGAAGATCTGCTAAGCTCCTTCTTAAGAGTGTTCCTCGCGTCGAAAGTGAAACCGTTGTCCCTCAGCCGGATGAATACGGACCGATACTCGAAGTCAATTGCCTTAGATCCTTCTCTGAGACCTCCTGAAAACTATTTTCATCTATTCAATAAATCTTTGTACATAAACCAACGTTATCTTGAGTGTTTGCATTGACTAAATATTCTTGGTAATCGCAAACCAATCCTGGTTCAGGTCAATGGCGGATAGTGTCTAGTTTTGCTGTTGTTGACCACGTGTGGGTATTGGCGTTTCAGTAATGATTTTTAATATCGCATTTACACAGGGAGACAAGCTCACCTCTCTGACCAGTTGTAGTTGAAATAAAATCCGCTTTATGTAAATTCCAGGGGCCCCTAATTTGCCTAATTGAACCCTCGGTGGGCTGTGGGGCGCTTCATTGACTGATCTTTGCAACAGCATTAGTATTCGTATATGTTCGTTCGCAGACGGTAATCCGTACAGTTTCCCATCCAACGCTAAATGACGCGTGAGTGAAACATCATCTGTTCAACTATTAAGCTAAAGGTGTATTGTTCCTCAAATCTAAATCTTTTATTTGGTTTAGGTACTTCCGCGGACTATCGCCTTGTCGGTTCGTTCTTATTGAAGAAAATATTAGAATTGTTGTAATCGGAGTGCATTTATTGCCGATCAGCTTGTTCGAACAAGTCGACACAACTGTCGTCTTTAGCGGTTCATTCAATTGTCGCGTATTTCGTGCATGTTACGTTTAGGACCTTCCTAAGACGATTTGATAGTTACAAGGGAACAGTTGAACACCGCCTATGTCGATGCTTAATTCACAAGGGTCGAGATTAGGAGAGGCTGTCACAGAGTAGAGATCACGCAAACCACAGAATGCGTGGTTTGTGCCCCCATGAAAACGTACCCCCTCCCCATTTACCCATTTTTCTGGATGTCGGTTTGTCTGTTGTAGCGAAATGCGCGTGCGCTGCTACCCTCGCTGGCCCGTAACTCTGACTTCCACTTAGTCGAGCACCGAACTTCTTGAAATGGATATTCTATCTGGAATACCCGAGCTTCAGCTAGACTTTGAAAAAATCTACAATTACTTCCAAAATGCACGAAAATTAATTGCACAAAGTAACAAAACAAAGTGTCCTCCACCTGAGACAGGTAATGCCACGACCGTGGTTGAGGCCGCTACCACACCCGCACCTAAATTGCCCCAGACGTGTGTTTGGTAAGTGCTACTTTTCCCCCTCAATTTAATGTCTACCTGTTAAGCCACCACCTGAGATCAAGTTTGTCGCCCAAGTTGGTGAAGACTTACAAGCATCTTCTCTCGGTTATATCAGCCGACGTCAATGTTACGTCCCCGAAAGATTCGCCTGTATTCGAGGAATTTCAGGTTCGTTACTTTTCGCATTTCAAAATTCCGCAAAAGGAGTTTTACCATTTTCCACTGGCTGTTGTTTGCCTACTTTGGTATTGATCCGGGGAAAACCTTTTTTTGCAACTCTTGTGTGTGTGCGTGTGGCGATCATTGCCTCAGACCAAATTATGACTTCCCCGTTTCAATCAATTCTAGTTGAATTTTCCCCTATACTCCGATACGTGCCCTCCATTACTCTAATTCGTAAGTAGCCACGGGGTTCCCAAACTTTTAAGCATAAGAAAATCGGAGGCGAGTAGCTCGAGTATTTCGTAGTACATTTTTCCTTTTAATGGCTGTTTTAGGCCCTCCATTGTCAAATTCAGGAGGCACAACGGAAGGTAGTGGCTGACCTTAGCGCCTGTTGCCCCTGCAGCCATCTAGTTCTGCCTATCAACCTTGAGGAGCTACTGATTCACCTGCTCCATAAGCAACAGATGAGGCGAGCTTTAGATGCTCCCAGCATCTACGCTCCGGTCGACAGTACCAAATTCAAAGTTGCCAAAAGTAATGTGACAAAACTGGAGCATGTTGGATCATTCGGTGAGCCCAACTCGCTGCCGCGATTCGTGCTAGCTCAGGGGGTCCTTCCGACGACGATCAAAGATGCGGCATTTACGGGAGACGTAAGTCTTTCAGCACACGTCCCTAATCGCTCTCGTCTGTAGGCCACTCCCGAGTGTACAGAAATTTCCCCAGATGCGAATGTTATTACCAGTGTGGATGTTGTGCAACAGATTTTAACCTTCCTAAACTCAGGAACAAGGTGTTTCTTTCCTGTTGACGTGGTGCCGTCGCCCCACCGTACGTCATTCCCATTTGGTTTGTGTTTTTTTGGCTATTGCAAAAGTCCATGCCTAAATGCATCAGTAGTCAACATGACCTAAAAAGGTATTTAGAATAACCTTTGTGCGGGGTTGATATTCGACATGAAGTCGCCTTCTTGTCTGATGTGGTGTGTTGGAACTGAAAAAAGAAGTATTCAACATTGTTACTGAGACTGTGCTCATGATTTAGTCAAGTCAATTATAAATCAAGCACTAATTCGTCGAGCACAGGCTAGTTTGTCCTGTGAATTGCCATAAAATTGCGTAGATTGTAGCACATGGATAATTAAAGTAGTCTAGGCATTTGAAAGGGTCATGTGTGCAACAAGTGGGCTGTAGGGATGAGGTGGAGGTGGGATCTATGATCAGGATGTGGCTGCGCTTTGTGTCTGGCGGATCGGCCCCATCAAGCGTAGAAGTGATGTGTTTCAGCTTTACTAGAAATAGTTGATCAAAGGTGTTGACATGTGGTCTGGAACAACACCGGGGCCGTCTAGTTGTCTTGGCCCGGGCAGGTCTAGACGACTGGGGATGGCGGGGACACAAAGGTTTACAAGCTAGCTCAACCTGGCTGTGTTGTGTGCGTGGGGGGGTACATGTGTACGGGGGTGAATGAGCTGACAGTACTGCATGGCCGATGGACGCACTGTGAAGAGGGGCAGCGGGTCGGAGTACGCAGCGCCAGAGCTGATGGACGTGAATCGACACGATTCACTACAATTTCGTAGATATCACTTCGTCATTTCAAAGCCTCTTTATCGGCCACTTATTAAGATGTATGTTGTGGGCCCCAGCATGCGGTCTTGAACCACGCCGGGGCCACTGAATTAATCCTGGCCCGATTACGTTTCCCTGATACCCGCGATGAATAAAAAGATCGGAGAGGACGTGGACACAACGGTTTACTTCAGAGCTCAATCACGTTGGTGTCGTTGTGTCGTGTGTGAGGTTTGCGTGTGTGTAATTATGCTTCGGATGTGTAAGTCATACATGCGCTAACATCGAGACCTAAGTGTGAGGATAACCCAAATATCCGTGTGAATGAGGGGGGAGTTGAGGATCCGCGCGGCTGACGACATGCTGCGAAAAGGGGAACCCCGTGTCGGAGGTGGATCGACCGGATTAAGAGGGTGTGAATAAGCACGTATCACAACAGGTGCTTTGTTCGACAGTTTCCGTGTACGGGAAGTTTCCTCATCTCTCCTTTACAAAGGAACAAAATCGTGTTTTAAATTGTGAGTGATTTCCAGAAAAATTATTAGGAGAATCTAACATCTGCAATCGACTTTCGTAAAGGTAACCGCTTCGGTCCAATTCGTATTTAGCATCGCCATGCTTTCGCATTCCCTCTGAATATCGGCTTATCTCGGAACCACATAACTGACGTCGGATTCTTTAACCAGAAAGGTTTGGTGTGTGGTTCTACCCTTCGTGATCAACAGGAAGCCTCGTAGATTACGTACAACCCGCCAAGTTTTGATGTCAAAACTTCGAGCTGTCGACAGCGGCAATTAGTTTTATGTAGCTTCACCGGTTCCGTGCTTGCCTTTAATTGAAATCGAACTATTCTACCTTTAAGGAACAGACAAACGAGTCGTCCTAATACACAGCCCCCTACTTTCCGAGCCGCTGAATGACAGTCGACTGAGGGCCCAGGAATGCTATTCTTTAATTTGCCAAACCACGTTCCTGGAGCACCCAACGAGTGGTAGTGCGCCCTGCGCCACCTCAAGTGTTTCCGATTCGCGTGAACGGGCACTGGTGAAGGTATGTGTCTCAGTGCCATTATTTTGGGTAAATTTTTTTATACCAAGTCTTACTAAACTTCCTCGTTGAACAGGACTCGGTAAATAAAGATACCCTCGAACCAGATCAGTCTGACTTGGATGAACTGGAAGTCCCATTAACCATCGACCCTGATGTTGCGGCTTCTCCTAGCGAGGCCTCAATGTACGTCTTAGACTCGTTCTTGAAAGTGCTACTCCCAGCCGATAAGTCAAACTTTCTTTGGAATCATGTTTGGTCATGTTGTTGAGTTTATGCTCGAGTTTTCGTTTGGAACTAACGGGCTTTCTAGACGTTTCTAGCAAAGAAGCTGTTGGTGATTTTGGGCTTCTGAGTTTTTGAAGACGTAATGATGCCTGCGTATTTTTGCTATCGAATATGAATATTCGTTGTACCTAACCTCGTGTTTTCTGTGCCTCGCGTTTGTGCACAACGAAAGACTTACACTCCAAAGTCAAAATGAACAAGTTTTAGCACCTCGTTGGTAACACTGACACGCGGTTTTGAGGGCACACGTGGTATCAGCTAGTCTCTTCATAATTAGTTTTATTAACATGAATGAAAATCGATTGCGAAACAGTGGATAACGTTTTCATGTACCGTTTGTCTGGCTTCGTGTGAAGACCGAATTGAAGGGCGTTTTTAATGCTGTCATCACTGTGTGGAAAATCGTTTTCCTGTGGTGTGAGAGTGGACATTGCACGCTGTTTCCACAAGGCGCTCTGAAACACTTTCCAAAAGCAACACTCAAATAAACTTGAGCTAAACTACTTACTGTTGAACTCGATGTCCTTTGCATAGGATGTCACCAGTGGCACTGCGTGCGGTGATTGACCAATGTGACGTTGTGGAGTCCACCAAGGGTATCGAGGTCCTCCAGGAACCAGCGTCCCCCGAACCCGCTTCGCCTTTCACCCCAACACCTTGTCCACCTGGTAGGTGTTTGGACGTCTGTTTTCCCTGAGTTCTTTTGCCAAGCCTTCTTCCTAACTCCGATCAAAAGAAAATCACATTGAATGGGTTGCAATTAACACAGACTGTCTCTGGTTCACGGTACTGAGGTGCCGGTGTTTTAGAC